GGGCCTGAATTATGTTTGGCTCCTGGGATCAACTGAGTGGTGAAGGTATTCCCCGGCAGCCTCCCAGCTCACGGAGAGTTTCTGGATAGAGATGCTGTCATGGCAAACCATTTTCAGAACCAGGAAGTATCCCTTAAGGACCTTTTGCAGCACTAAAACTCAGAATCAGGCTTCCTTGTACTAATTGGAATATGGACTTCAATGATGGCAGTGCTCACTGACAGTGCCAAATCCTGCAATTTCTGATTGGTCCAGAGTCACAGAAGCACATGCCGTCTGGGTTGAATACTACTACTCAGGTGAAAATATCCCAGATAGTGCAGATAAGGAGATCGAGGCCCAGAGCAAGCAAGGGATTTGTCCACAACCACACAGCAGAAGAGTTCTGAACTCCCCTCTCTTGACTCCACTGCTCTTCCTCCTGAGCTAGCAGCCATCACATATCTTAGATTTTCTGGGACAAAACCAGATTTTGTATGATTTTATTCTATTGAATAAATATATTTAAAGTGTGAGACTACCTGTGATTTTGGTTTTTATTATTTGGTGACTTCTTCCTTCCTTTCTTCCCTCCCTCCTTTCTTTCTTTCTTTTTTTGACAGGGTCTTCTCTGTTACCCAGGCTGGGTAACTCAGCTCCTCCTGCCTCAGACTCCTGAGTAGCTGGGATTACAGGTGCATACCACCATGCCTAGCTAAGTTTTACATTTTTTTCATACAGATGGGGTCTTGCTATGTTGCTCAGGCTGTTCTCAAACTGTTGGGTTCAGACAATCCTCCCATTTTAGTCTCCCAAAGTGTTGGGATTACAGGCGTGAGCCACGACGCCTGGTCAGGTTTTTAAAACAAACAATTTACAGATCAAATAAAGCACTCCTGCTCAGATCACATGCCCTAGGCATGGGTTTGAAATGATTGACCCAGGGATGAGTCCAGCAGACTCCCAGTACTAGCCAGGCCCATGGCAACATTTTGAGCCAACCTCTGAGTTTGTGCCTTGTGGTCTGGCTATCCTGGCCAATGGATGGTGCAGAAATTAAGAATTCATACAAAGACTGCCATTTAAAGCCTGGACATTTGGTCGGTAATCACTGAGGTGGCTCAGCACGAGGACTCTGCCCAGAAGAGATGCTCCATAGTAGATGATGATTCACTGAGCCAGGTGGAATCCTCACTCAGGGACACGGGGAAACCAGAGGAGCTGGGCTGGTAGAGAAACAAGTGGCTATGGAGAGAGGGAGGTGTCCAGAATGGGACCTGGGGATAGCTAGAGGAATGGTTATGTGAAGGCCAGTGCATCCTGATCCGCTTCCCATATCCCATGAGTCTGACCATGTGACTGGGAGGTGTTTTCTTGGGTGTCTTCCTTTCCTTTCCTGTGTGGCCTTATAATAAACACCCTGGAGCAGCACAGGAATGGTCATAGCCAGGACATCCTTGCAGCCACCTTGAGTTCTGGGCAACTGAAAGATGGGGGAGCATGGGGTTAGTGTTTCTCATTGTCTTCTTCTTCCAGGCTGAGACCCAGTCAAACCAAGGGGAGGCATTGCTGGCTCTGTTATCAGCAGAGGCTGGCTTCAGGTAGAAACTCCATAAGTAGAAGCCAAGTGAGTTCTGGCAGTGTCCACATCTTAGGCAAGATCTCAGTGGGCAGTGTGGCACAAAGCTGGACCTAGGTGCTAGCCCCAGATTAACTACAAGTTGGCAAAGGGGGAGCCCTGCATCTAAAATGATCATAAATGGCTAGTCCTGGCAGTCTGTCCTGTGGCTGGAAGACAGATGGGCTGTCAGGGATGACCCTTCACCTTCTCACTCTCTCTCCTCTGGGCTTTTGCTTGTTTTCTTGACTTACTCCTGACTTCCCTGTTCAGGCTTTCTGGGTTTTCCCACCAAATAAACCACGGTACCTGCACTCAAATCCTTGTCTTGGAGTTTGCTTTCTGGGGAAACTCACACTAGGACAGAACTGTGATCACAGTTTGATATGTAAAAAGCAGGGTGCTCAGCTCAGCTCTGGGGAGTCACAGGTGACTTTCTAGAGGAAGTGACCCATGCTGAGGCTTCAAGGATGAGTTGGGGTGAGCCAAGTGCTGTTGAAGGGCAAGGTCACCTAAGAACTGAGGGAAGCTGGATGAGGCTGGATTTCAGGGTGCAGGGGAGAGGGTGTGAAGGGCCAAGCAGCTGAGGCAGGCTTGGGTCTCATCATGGCAGGCGTTGTAAAAGATTTAAACTTTATTCCACAGGAAGTTGCCAGAAGGCTGAAGCAGGGATGCAATATGATCTCTTTCATGTTTATCAAGCTCTCTCTTAAACCTCTAAATACAGATTTGAGAGTAACTAGCTCTGTGGCTGATAATTTAAGCCCTGCAGTGCATCTGAGTGTCCAATATGGCAGCCAGTCGCCACTCCTGAGTGTTGTACTGAGCTAGTCCAAATTGAGGTATATGCTGTTAGTGTTAAATACACACTAGATTTTGAAGACTTTGTCTGCAAGAGTATAAAATATATAGTTGAAAACTTTTCTTTTTGAGACAGAGCCTCAAGCTGTCCCCCTGGGTAGAGTGCCGTGGCATTACAGCTCACAGCAACCTCCAACTCCTGGGCTCAAGCGAGTCTCCTGCCTCCCCCTCCCAAGTAGCTGGGACCACAGGTCCCTGCCACAACGCCCGGCTATTTTTTTGGGGGGGAGTTGCAGCCATTGTTGTTGTTTGGTGGGCTCGGGCTGGATTTGAACCTGCCACCTTAGGTGTATGTGGCTGGTGCCTTAGCCACTTGGGCCACAGGCGCCGAGGCTATAGTTGATAACTTTTATATTGATTAATGTTGAAATGGTAATATTTGGATATATTGACTTAAAGCATATTATTATGATATTGGGTACATAATATACCATCAAAATGAGTTTCACCTTTTTTTTAACTTTGAAAAAATGGCTACTAGAAAAATGTAAACATATGTGGCTCACATTATTTCTCTATTGGACAGTGCTAGGGAAGAATGTTAAGAGGAAGGGGCTCTAGCAAAGGTTCATGAACCTCAGTGGTTGAGAGATGGTAGAGGAGGAGGAGCTGCTTTTGAAATTGTCTGGTTACAAGGAACAGAACCAATACCCCCTCCCTCGCCCCTACCCTCTACAGTTAGCTTCAACACAAAGGGGAATTTATTTGGAGAATTCATGGGTATTTAATAGAAACAGGGACAGAAAGTGCAACTGGGGTGATGAGGAAATGAGACGTGGAATTCATCATAACCAATGTAAATAGTCTCACCAGCTCTTCTTGTGGCCTCGTCTTCTCTTTTTCTTTGTGTATCTGTTTTATTCTCTTGCTGCATTTGGCTTTCTCTGCTCTGTTTGCATCTGGACCAGCCCAGCCCCATGCTAACTCACCTTCCCAGGGCAAGGGCTAAGAGATGGACCAGAACCTCTATATCTCAAATCCCCAGGAGAGAACATATGATTAATGCAACCTGGATCCCAAGCGTTCTCTGATCTGGTCTCGTGACCAGAAGTAGAGGGTCATGGAGCTGCTCAGTTGGCAGGATTCTGGGGGTGTAGACCCTTGGAGAAGGCATGGGGTAGGACAGAAAAAGTGACCACTGAAGCATTTACAGGACACCCTAAAGGAGCCTTTGCATGAGCGGGGGGGGGGGGGGGAGCACCACACATGCAAGATGTCAGAAGCCAGGGAAGGAGGGAGTGACTGTGGGGCCAAGCTGCTGAGAGGCCAAGTGAGTGACCAGCACAAGGGGCCAATGAGCATCCATGGTGAGCAGTTTCTGGGATGGATGTGATGGGAGGTGGACTGGAGTAGGAAGAGGTATGAGGCTCTAAACTGGATGCAGGGAGGTAGACAGCTTCTTTATGAAGCTTGGCTTCGATGGGGGAGAAAGAGACAGTGTCGCCCCTGGAAGGCGATAGGGTATCCAGGGAGAGTTGTTTGTTTTTGTTTGTTTGGGGTTTTGTTAAGATGAGAGAGGACTGAGCTTGTTTAACTGGTGATGGGAAAGAGCCAGGGAAGGGGGAATGGGCACAGACCCCAGGGAGACAGGGATGGCTGCTAAGAGAGGCTGCTAGGAGGCAGAGCCCTGTGGGAGGACTGGCCCTTCTGCTGCGGCCGGAGGGAACTGGGGAACATAGCATCAAATATCAGTAGCATTCAGGTATGGCTGCCAGTTTCTCGGTTAAAGAGGAGAAAAAAACCATCTTCCAGGCTTGGGTCTGGGATCAGAGATTTGGGGAAAGCAGGGGAAGAGAATTGGGATTGGAGGAGCCCTGCTTCTGTCTGCAGCCACTCTGGGCTGGGTTTGTCATCTACTCACATGCATGCTGGGACATGTGGACACACACGGTGTTTCCGTGCACAGGCCTGCCGTACACACCCTGAGGGCACTCAACACTCACATACTTGTTCCTATCAGTCCAGCTTGCACGTACCTGTGTGCCTGTTCACAGGCCTATATGCACGTGCAAGTATGGACAGGCAGATGTGCATGCTCACACATCCACATTGTGGCCAGCTCCCCTCCACCTCCATCCCTGAGCATCGTGGCTTGAGTTCTTATTGTTGTTTATTGAAACCTCCTATTGGAGAAAGGGGTGGGAAGCAAGAAGGGAAGGGCTTTTTGTCTTGTTAGGACTCAGTCTTGTTAGGACTGAACCAAGGGACCCCAGGGGAAGAGGGCTGGGACAATGGGGGAAGGTGGCCAGTGTGGGAGGGTTAGACAGAAGACAGGCAGGGCCTGAGTTGCAGGGAGATTGAGAACAGGGCTAGGTTTGGGAAAGCCTTTGGCTGAACCTTTGAACTGGCCAGGACTGGGCTAGGGACTCTGGTAATGGTGGTGGAGGCCTTTGTCAAGCTCTCAGAGGGCTTTGTTCTTGGAGGATGGAGCTCTTCAGGCCCCTTCCACACCAGGCCTCATGGTGCCCAAGGAGCTCAGAGGCAGGCAGGGCCCTGGCTGAGATTAGTCTCTGGAGGGCAGGGAAGGGGGGTTCTGTTGTTTTCAGCTGGAGCCCAGGCCTGGTCCATAAGGCTGTAGAGGGATCATCTGGGATGCTTTTTCTGCTTCTGCCTCTTGCTTTGGCTCCTTTGCCCTCAGGAACCTAGGGATAGAGAGCTCAGGAAAAGCCCTGGGCCCAGACCTGCCTTTCTAAGGAGGAGCACTGATGGGCAGAGGCAGAGGACTGACCATTTTTCCATGTCTTCGATAGTCTCTGGCAAGGGCCGATTGAGGGTCTCAGGTAGGAAGAGGGCAGCACTGCCTGCCAGGAGGGCGCTGATCCCGTAGATGATATTGGGGATGAAAGGATGCACCTCAGCCGTGATTTTCACCAGTGGGGCCAACATGCTTCCAACACGGGTCCACAGGTTACATGCACCCATACCTGTTTGCCTAGGAGGGTTCAGAGCAGGGATTGGCAGCCTGTGTGTAGGGTTTACAAAGGCTGGCTCTAGGACTCCTGGGTGGGGGGCAGGGGCAAACATTAGGGGGTAGGAGGATGCCACAGTCCCACCTGACTCTGTGTCCTCTGGCTGGGCCCAGCCCCAGGTCCAGCACCTACCGGATGACTGTAGGGTACAGTTCACTTGTGTAGAGGAAGAGGCAGCTGAAGGAGCTGGACAGGCATCCCTTTCCAAACACTGCTAATGCTGTCCTCAGGGTCTGCATGTCTACAGAGGGAAGGAAATGCAGTGGGTCTTGGAGTTCAGGAGCACTTGAGTGTTCTTACTGTTTAGCAGAACTTGTCTCCCTTTTTGCTTTGGCTGCCGGGATACTCAGATACAAACCTAAAGCTGAGTAATAGCTCTTCTATTCTTAATGCTTTGTATGCTTATGTTCTGCTGTGTTTGTATTTTCTCCTGGCTTTGATTCCTTGTTCCCATTTATATTTTGTTGTATATGTTCTTGTCCTAGAATACCTTAATCTCCTTTGGAAGGATTTAGATATATCAATCAACAAACATCTATATAGTTCGGGCACAGTGGCTCACACCTGTAATCCTAGCCCTCTGGAAGGCTGAGGTGGGTAGATTGCTTGAGCTCAGGAGTTTAAGACCAGCCTGAGCAACAGTAAGACTCCATCTCTACTAGCCAAGCATTGTGGCGCGTACCTATAGTCCCAGCTACTTGGGAGGCTGAGGCAAGAGGATCACTTGAGCCCAAGAGTTTGAGGTTGCTGAGAGCTATGGCAACACAGCACCCTACCCAGGACAACAGAATGAGGCTCTGTCTTCAAAAATAAATTAATAAACAAACAAATAAAGTCTCCAGTTATAATGCTGGGATGCTTTAAACCTCCAAAGCAAAAGAAAAAATCTATTTAAAATAAAGGTGGTCCCAGGTCATGGTGGAGTAGTTGTGGGGTCTTTCTTGAGCACTGGGCTCTGCTGTTTCCATATCTCAGGTTGTCCTCTGCAGTAATGTTACCCAGGACATGCCCAATCCACAAGCAATTCCTCACATTGTCTAGATGCCACCATAGTTTGCCCAATTCAAGTCAGATATAGAAAGGATCTTTGATATCATCTAGCCCAACTGTGTTATTTTCTAGATGACAGATATGAGCCTAAGAGAGTGCTGGGATCTGCTTAAGGTAACATGGTGAATTGGAGGCAGAAGCAAAGCCAGCAGAACTGAAAATTTCTGGTGTCCCACTTTCTGGCTTGTGGGAGCCGCTTCCAGAGGGTTCTGGGGTAGTCCCAGCCTCTCACCCAAGGGCACAAAGATGAGAACCAAGATGGCTCCTCCTGCCAGGAGCAGGGAAGCAGCCTGAGTGGTGTGCCGGCCCACATAGCTTAAGGAGAGGATGGTGATGAACTTGGCTGGGATGTCGACCCCGCCAAAGATGACCTGGAGAAGGTAGAGGTTGACTCCAAATTCTTCCACACCCATAGCCAAACTATAGTAGGCAAAACCAGTGGCAAACCTGAGGGACAGAGAGGGATTGGTTAGCATCCACGCTTGTCACTGAGTCACCAGGATGAATAGTTTCATGTCTTGTGCCAACTGCAACAGATGGTAGGGGCTGCCTGAGTGCTGTTTTGAGGTTTCTGAGATTATGTCTAGGCTCAGAGAGAAATTTCTGGGATTGATAGGCCATGTCTGACATGGGCACAGTCCATGGTGTGCTGGCAAAGATGCCCATAATTGACTCCAGGGAAGATCAGGACTAGAGAGAATCCTAGAGACCTAAGGAGGCAGTGGATGATCTCCTGGCTGGGTAGCAGTTTAACATCCAGATTGGGGGAGGTGAATGTCAAGCTGTGCATATGGGTCAATTCTTCCTCCCATTTCTCTTAGAATTGGGGGATCTTTTTTGAAGGGTTCCTGGACCCTATTTGTCTGGGGATGGCCAGGATGGAGAAAGGCCTCAGATCCAGCTCACAGAAAGGGCTTTGAGATAGCTGTAGAATGTCAGATAGGAGAGAAAACTTAAGAGAAGCATAATTTTTGTCTGGATTCAAGTCTGAAATCCAGCAGGCCAGCTTTGCTCTGTGGGGGTCCAGAGGGCAGAGCAGGACCAGAGAGAGGCAGTGACAAAGAGACAGAGTGTGGTGAAACTGCATGGCAGGGGTAGGGGCTGGACCATTTGCCCTGTGGGTGGGGCATTGTGATCCCAAAGGGAGGCAGACCCCAGTGGCTGGACCTAGGTGTGGAGCTGGGCTGTGGTGGTCCAGGGAAGGGGATCCCTTGATGTCTCATGCAGATGCCCCAGGCCTTGCCCTGTGCTGAGCCTGCCAGGGCCTTGTTTAGCACCCCTGCTCTGGCAGGGTGTGGGCAGGGCAGAGTGGTGTGTTACCAGGCCAGGGAAAGACAGACAGTCACGCGGCGTAGAATGGGTATCCGGAATAGGTCAGTTGCACTGTACTTGGCCTTGGCCAAGGCGATCTCCTTCTGCAGGTTGAGTTTGAGCTCCTTTGGGCAGAGGAGGGGGAGAAGTGCCATTAGTGATCAGTTGGTGGGCAGGAAGAAGAGAGGGAGGTGCAGGCCTGGTGTCTCTAGAGGAGCTGGCGGAGGGGGTGAGATGTGATATAGGCTGTGAGCTGGGGAAACAGAGGCAAAGGAAGGGCCCAGCCCCAGGGTGGAGCAGAGGGGTCCCTACCTCCAAGGTGAGCCTTTCTCCTTCCTCCTTCTTGCCATTGAAGGCAGCTACCCGCTGGAGTACCTTCAGGGCCTTTGAGGACTTTCCAGACAGGACCATCCAGCGTATGGACTCTGGTGTCCACCTAGGGGGCCAGAATCTAGTCACAGTGGCTCCTCCCACTCCAGAAGCCCTTTGAGAGGCTGGAAGAACATCAATAGCCAGGGCTAAGGGGCAGGAGGTCCAGACACTTGAGGTGTCTTCTGTAGATTTCATGGAATTTCAATCTGAGCAAACTTTGTATCTGGGCTGCCTGCAGCCAGCACAAATTCCAGTATTTTCTTCTTCCCATTCCAGAAAAGCCTTCCCTCTGCCTCCCACCCGGGCTGCTTGTTGTTGTTGGGTGCCTTCCTTGGATAAAAGCCCCAGGCGCTAGGCCAAGGCAGGTGTGGCCTGGGGAGAGGACAGCATGTTCAAAGTTAGACAGCTGGAGGGTCCTGCACGTCTACCTCCCCAGCCTTCTTTGGTCTTTATTCTCAGTGTCCCTGCAGAAGAAGGGCAGGGGCAAAGTCCTGGGGCAGCTCCAGAGGTGCTTGGAGCTAAGGTGAGGGCTGTGGTCCAGGGAATGGGCTTTAGGACCTTTTGATTCTCCCTGCAAAGGCCTAAGTCTGATGGGGGAAGGGACATAGGCACTGCACAAGATCTTGGGATTGGCAAGTGAGCAGTCACCTCCATTTCCCTTGGGCTGTGGTTTTGGAGTTGGCTCACCCTGAGAGGTCCCTGAGGGTCACTAGGCAAAGAGGAAGGGAGGGAGCAGAGATACGGGAGAAAGGAGGGGTATTTGGAGAAGTCTACTCTAAGGTGGGGTCAGCTCTAGCTGTGGCCCTGATAGGCACCCACAACCTGGCTGCAGCGAGGCCCTCAGGGAGTGGACACTGCTCACCTAGCCTCAGACCAACGCTCCCAGCTGAAAACAGCAGCTTTCTGGGCCTGTTACTCTCCCATTCCTGCCATGACAGTCTTCTGAGACTATTGTAACTAAGATTACCAGTGACTTCCTCCCAAACACCATGGCCAGGGCCTGGACTCCTGAGAATAATGACAGAATGGCTTCCAATTAATGATCCTTCCTGTGTACTACGAAACCAGGTGACAGGCAATATTATCTCCATTTTATCTAGAAAATTCTTGAGACTCCAAGTGGGTGAGACTTGTCCCATTGCATGGGATGAATAGGCTGAGCTCTTGACTGTATTCTGCCAACCACCTGCCTTTATTCTACCTCCAACTCTGCCTGCTCCATCTATGCTCCTATCCCAGGTTGTGGACATGCCCTGAACCCCAATCTCAGAGCCCCTGGTGATGTCTCTCGCTCTGTCACCCCTAGATGGGCCATTCCCTCTTAGAGCTTCTCCTTTCTAAGCTGATGTTCCATCCTATTTCTGCACCTTTTTGTGTCACTTGGGAAGCTGTTTCACTTCCCTGAGCCTTAGTTTCCTCAATAACACCCCCTCGTGCAGAGATGTCATGGGAATACAATACGATGTAGGTTGATGCCTGGGACAGGTCTTGCATGTAGCAAGTGCTCAATGAAAGTTGGCTCCAAGGCTTCACTTCTTTCCTGGAGCTTGTTTGTGATTTCCTGTTCTTTGGCTCCAGATACCTCTGGAGATGCATTTCCTGTCTTCCAATGTGGCCTTGGGTTCAACATATTGATAACAAGCTCTCTGTCCACTCTGGGTCTATGACCAGGCACCTATTGTCCCAGGTTCCCAGGCTGGGGCTCCTCTTTGAACTTTCCTCTCCTTTATACTTCAAATCCAGAAGTCATCACATTCTCTGGATTCTTCCTTCAAAGTGCCTCTCAGACTTGTTCCCAGAATCCTCCTGCCTGCATAGTCACTTTCCATCTGTCTGTCTTTCCCGCCCACATGGGTCTGTCCTTCTGGGCTACTATTTTGCACAAGGAACCTTGGCCAGGTCTGCAGCCCCACAGACACCCTTGGTGGCTTTCTTCCTCCATCCCCTCGAAGGTGAGGCCTCTATGCCTCTATAGTTCATCCCATCCCTTACTCCCCTCTGTAGCTGCAGGCAACCCCTGGCTCCCCCCAAGGCACCTGCCCCATAGCCTTTGATTACATAACTCCTTTCCCTGCAGTGCCCTTCCCTGACTCTGGGGTGGGGTTAGCTGGGAACAGACAGAGTTGTCCAGTCTGTTTGGCCTATGGGGGACATAAGAAGGCAGATGAGGAGAGGGCCACATACCAGGATGACAGGAAGAAGATGAAGAAGGGAACAGACACGGTTAACTGCAGCCAGCGCCACTGAGGGATAGCATAGGCCAGGCCGGGCAGGATAAACTGGCCTAGGGTATAGCAGTACCCGATTGCTGTCGATGTGAGGGCCCGCATCTGGGTGGGTACCCACTCCACATCTGTAGGAAGAGCCCAAGGACTAGATTAGGCTCCTGCTAGGCCCCAGCAACTCCCTGGGAAGGGGCCCCAACTCCTCCCTTCCCCATGGTAACTCAATCTGATCCTGACCCTAAGGGTTCAACATTCCCAGCTGAGGGTCAAGGAGGTAGGACTCAAACCCAGGTCTATCTACTCTCAAATCCATGCTCTTGACCACTGTGTCTCCAGTGGCAAGTGATTTGGTTTTTTTGCCTCAGTTTTCTCATCTGTAAAATGGGGATAATAATATCACTAACTTGCAATTGTGGACTGAGACTGTGTACCTAGTAGAGTACTAGGCCCAAGGGAAGCCCTCAATGTTGACAGCTGCTATTCCTACGCTTGTTTTCACTGTTATACTCAGAGGAGCCTCTGAAGCCCTGAGAGGGCAACACCTTAATCAAAGGGGCATGCCCAGACTCCATTCTCTTTTAATTTCTGGCTGGTATTCCCCAAAGCCCAGTTTCCTACCCCCCTCGCCCCCCGCAAGCTCACTCAGGGTAACGGTGCTCAGTATAATGCCTGAGATGCCACAGCCACACAGGAAACGGAAGGCCATATAGACGGACAGGGTGGGGCTGAAGGCTGCGCCTGAGCCACTGGCTGCCAGCAGCAGGTAACAGCCGGTCAAGATGGGTTTGCGGCCAAACCTGCAGCTCAGAGGAGAGGAGGGCCAGGTTAGCCATAGTGTGCCTGCCAAGGTGAGTGACTCTGCAGGCTTTGGGGCAAAGGGCTGGACTGGAGTCCTCTCACCCACTTCCCTGGGGGGCATATACCTCCCTCCCCAGACAGAGCCTTTCTGGTAATTGCTATCTTTCAACAAGGTTGCAGTCAGAGGTTTCAGTTAATGAGTGATCCGTGCTATATCCACCTCCAGCTTAGCTGTCTGAGTAGGGGTTACAGGATCATCCATCTCTAAGCTGTACCCCTGGGCTGCACAGCCATTCTGCAGTGTCCAAAAACCTGCAGGCTTTCCCTCCTGGGTCTGAGGAAATGAAGACTTAAGTTGTAAGGGCTTTGGAGTGGAGAGAAGGCTTTGGCCTACTAAGGAAGTGGACTTGGCACAGAGCAAGGGCCATCCCCCTCTCTTTCCCACCCCAACCCTTTGCCTCTTCGAGTGCGCATGGATGGAGCAGAGTCAGGCTTTGTCTCCATGGGCTGTGCCCTTATATCTCACCTGTCAGACAGGTCTCCAAGTGCAAGCCCTCCAATCAGTATGCCTGCCATGAAGATAGACTGGGCCATCTCCTTCAGTTTGTTGGAGTTACACACCAAGTCCCACTGTATGAGAGAAAGGCAGGGCCGGCCCGCTCAGCACAGCCCACTCAGCACAGCCTGCTCAGCACAGCCCAGCCTGTGTGGCATGTGCTTTTCACATGTGTGGGTTCTCTCTCCCAGAACCCTGACTGGCTTTCCAGAACCCAGGAAGCCCTTACCTCCCAAATACCATTCCCCCTCTTTTTTTCTGGAGACAGTCTCACTCTGTTGCCCAGGCTAGAGTGCTGTGATGTCAGCCTAGCTCACGGCAACCTCAAACACCTGGGCTCAAGCAATCCTCTTGCGTCAGCCTTCCAAGCAGCTGAGACTACAGGTGCCCATCACCACGCACAGCTAATTTTTTCTATTTTCAGTAGAGAGTGGGTCTTGCTCTTATTCATGCTGGTCTTGAACACCTGACCTCAAGTGATTCTCCCAATTTGGCCTCCCAGAGTGCTAGGATTACAGGTCTGAGCCACCACACAGCCCACCATTTACTCTTTTAACCTAGATTCCTGACCTCCACCCCCCAAGCTTTTGTGGCTTGTTGTATGGCTTACACAAGCTGTCACATCAGGCCTGGTCTCAGCCTCTTCTCTTTTCCCCTCCGACCTTGCCTGCAGCCCTGTGGGTCCCTGCTTGCCTCCTTCCTGAGTCCAGCCCCTCTGCCTGCAACCTGACTGCACCTCTCTCCTCCTCCAGGTACTCCACAGTTGCCACCTCCTTCCTGACTCCTCATCAGCATTTGGGTGAGTTCAAATCTCTCCATCTTAAAACCTCCTTTCCTTTGCACACACCTTCCATTTCTCCATCCCTTTCAAAGCCAGATCTCTCAAAGGACAACCCACACTTGCTGTCAGCCTGTCTTCTTCTCCCACTTCTTTCTCAGTTCTGCCCTGACCGGTCCACCGAGACTGTGCTCTCCAAAGCCACAAAAGACTACTTTTCACTACCACAACACAACCCCGCGCATCCTGCCCTGGCTTGACCTCTCCCTCTGCCTGGTCTTCCTCCCACCATTTCACACTCCTCCTTCTCCTCCACTGGCTCCTCTCTCTCTGCCTGTCCCTTGGAGCTTCCCCTGGGCTCTTCCTGGATCTTCCTCTCTGTCCTCTTTCCCCAGGTGATCCACCTGTTCCTGTGGTTTCAGTTGCTAGTTTATGCTGAAGATTCCAAATCTTTATCTCCAGCCCAACCTCTCTCTGGCTCCCAGACCATTCAGTGGACCATTATAGATAGATTTCCACCTGGAGGATGTCACACGTGCATCTCAGACTTGGCGGGACTTGTAACTTCACTGTCCATCTCAGTGACTGGTAAGTCTGTCTTTTTAAAGTTTTTAAACCTTAAGTTACTTTGAATTGATAAGTCACAACTATATTCCATGTATGGAGGATGATGCTGTATGTATGCATTGAAGGGTAATTCAATCAAACTAATGAACACATCCATCACTTGCTTGAAAATTTTAGTAGTGGTACATTTGAAAATTACTCTCTTAATTATTATGAGACAAAGTCTCACTCAGTCACCCTTCCTTGGTAGCCATGGCATCATAGCTCACTGCAACCTCAAACTCTTGGGCTCAAATGATCTTGCCTCAGTCTACTAAATAGTACTTGGCATTATAGGTGCCTGCTATAATGCCCAGATATTTTTAAAGATAGGGTCTTGCTCTTGGTCGGGCTGGTCTTGAACTCTTGAACTCAGGCAATTCACCTGCTTCGGCCTCCCAGAGTGCTAGTATTACAGATGTAAGCCACCACGTCCAGCCCCTACTCTCTTCATTATTTTGAAATACATGATACATTATTACTGATAGCCACTCCACTGTGTGATGCACCTCAACATTTTTTTCCTTGCTGTCTAGCTGGAAATTTGTACCTTTGACTGGGAATTTTCCATCCTCTCACTCCAGCCACCCCTCCCCCAGCCTCTGGTATCCATAATTCTACCCTCTACTTCTATGAAGTTAGCGTTTCTTAGATTCCACGTGTATATGAGGTCGCACTGGTCACCGTCTCTTGACTCATCCCTCTCTCTTCTACTCCACAATCACTGGATCCTCAAGTTCTTAACATTTTTATATTTCTTGAATCTAGATTCTTCTATTTCCACTACTGCTGTCTTAGTGTGGGCCTGCTTATCTCGCACGTGGATTAATAATGACAGCCCATATTTAATCGAGTGCTTTCTAGGTACTAGGCTCTGTTCTAAGCTCTTTCTACGTTTTAACTTCTTTAATCTTCACTGCAACCTTATTTTGTAGGTGCTAACGTCACCACCGTTTTACAGAGGAGGAAACTGAGGCCCAGAGGCAATTACTGCAACAACATTCTGACAGGTCTCCTGGACTTCAGTCTCATCCCTTCCTATCTGTTCTTTCCCTAACAACTGGAAGGGCCTTTCTAAAACACTGTTCAGATCAGGTTCCTGTTTTGCCTAAAGAACTGGCTTCCTTTTGCCCTTTGGGTAAGGATAAAGCTTTGTCAACACAGATGTGTATGGCCCTCCATGCTCTAACTCCTGCTACCTGTCTGGCCTAATCTCCTGCTAATCCCTAACATGCACCCTTTGCTCTAGCCACTCTGAATTACTTGCGTAATGAAGTGCAGAATTTAATTCACTAGAAATGCCTCAGCAGAATGTCTTGAAAGTAAAACATTCTAAAAGGGGAAGAACCACACATCCCAGGGAACTGTCTTCCACTCTTCAGCTGGAAGTGAGGGAGGATGGGGGTGGATAAGATTCCAGATCCTTGCTGGGTGTGGTGGCTCACACCTGTAATCCTAGCACTCTGAGCAGCTGAGGCAGGTAGATTACCTGCGTTTAGGAGTTCAAGACCAGCCTGAGCAAGAGCAAGACCCCATCTCTAAAAATATCCAGCTGCTGTGGCAGACACCTGTAGGCCCAGCTACTCAGGTGGCTAAGGTAAGAGAATCTCTTGAGCCCGGGAGTTTGAGGTTGCAGTGAGCCATGATGCCACAGCACTCTATCTAGGGTGACCAAGTGAGACTCTGTCTCAAAATGAAACAAACGAAAAAAAGATTCCAAGTCCTTTAGCTGTCTCAGAGTGGCCCAGCATGGCCAATAAGCATGGTGGTCCTGTCTAGTTGGGAAACAGCTCTGCATGGTACATAGAGGGCTTGGCGGGGGGTGGGGAGGGAAAGTAAAGAAGAAAATAAGGGGCTATGAAGAGGAATATGTCAGTGGGTGTCTGGAAAGACTTCAGGTGCTCTGTGGCATGCTGTATAAAGACCCTTTAGGCAAATGTAAAGGAAAGACCTAGTGTTCAACTAAAGTCATTCTCCCCTTCTTCCATAGTTAAAGAGTACATTTCCCAAGTGACCTTGTAGTTGGTGAGGACCACATGGTTCTTGACAGTGGAAAGTGAGTAGAAGAGATATATGTTATCCCATCTCATTTGCTCAAGAGGAATTACTTGGCCTGGACTTGCATGTCTTCTTCCTCCCTGGTGGTAGGAATGGTGACAACTAGAATAACTCTGGAAGCCAAATGTTGAAGATGGCAGAGCTGCTGTTGGTATGGGACCTCGAGTAACCCTGTGGAGCAGAGCCAGCCATCAGCCTGAAATGCCACTCATGTTGGAGCTGTTACATGAGAAAGAGAAACACTGTATTCTTTAAGCCAAGAATTATTGTTGACTCTTTTGTTATAGCACCTAACCTACCCTGATACATCCCATAAGAAGTTACAAGTGGTAATTAGATTGTTATCTTAACTTTCATGTTATCCAGTGCCTTAAGAAATCAAGGAGCTCTTTGGATTATGAGAGGGTCAATGTCAGACCTGCTTAGATTAGTTTGAGGCTGCTGGCTTGCCCCACTGTCTGAGACCAGATCTTCTGGGTCTTGGTTTCCTCATACCACAGAACTTGTGATCATGTAGTCTTCAGAATAACTATCACATGCCGGTTTGTACCAGAAAATCAAGCAATTTACAAAAAATGCCATTCCTGGAATGAACTTTGGGTTATGTGTAGAATGCACAAATCCTTACAATGGCCCTAAGAGCCTATAGGATCTGCTGTCATCATTATCCTTGTTACCTCTCTGCTCTCACCTGCTACTGCTCTCTTTTGTACCTACTCCACTCCACTGAATTGGTCACCTTGCTGTTCCATAAACATATCAGGCATGCTCCTACTTCATGTTTTTGCACAAATGTTATCTTTTCAATGAGACCTTCCTTGACCCTGCTATTCACAACTATGACCCCAGTACTCTATTTAATTTCCTCTATAGCACTTATACCATCAAATATACTGCATTTTCCCCATTGTTTTTGCTTATTGTATATTTCTCCCCCAAGAATGTCAGCTTGATGAAGTTAAAGCTTTTACTCTATTTTGTTCGTGAATGTATTTTCAATGCCTTGAACAGTGCCTGACATATAGTAGGCCCTCAATAAATACTTGTTGAATTGAATGAGACAACATTCCACAGAAAGAACAGAGGAAGGGAAAGCCTCAGAAGTTAGAGATATGCCAGTGTCTAAATAAGAGATCATAGGGTCTATATTCCAAATGCTGTGTGGAGAACTGCCCCACTTCACTCGAATGAGCCCAGGGTGGATAGGGTTTAGACTGTACTTCATTCATAATGAATGTATCACCACATGCCAACAAGAAGGTGAGAAGGATTCTTCCTTTACAATCAGACTGGAAAATCTTCTATAGAAACTTGTCTACTGGAGGATTACCATCCTTTAATGAAGTTTGGAGGGGCAGTGCCTATGGCTCAAAGGAGTAAAGCGCCAGCCCCATATGCCAGAGGTGGCAGGTTCAAACCCAGCCCTGGCCAAAAA